TACTTGCCTTCGGTTTATGATTCTGGGGCTCCGCAGGCGAAGCACGAAGTTATGTGCCGTTCCATTCACTCTCCCTTGGTTGGCGGGGCAGTGCGGCAATTAAGCAACCTTTGTTTCTCCGGCTTCGTGTTCCTTGACTTTGAGTACGGCGCCTGCTCCGGCTAGTCCGGTGGCACGCCAACTCACCACAACATGACTTGCTTACAGCAGACAGTGTCACACTGAGGTTTTCCTGGGCTGCGGTTGCCATGCCAGAGACAGTGACAGCTATGTGAAAATGATCAGCGGAGCTTTGCTTGAGGCAAAGGACGACTGGCCTTCCTCTTTGGACCAACTGTACCACAAGTAGAATGAAGCAGCAAGAGACAACCAGGAGCACTGGGGCAGAAGGCAAACAAACTCCGCCCCGAAATCATACCGGAGACATGTGTTGGAGCCGCAGCAGAGAGCAGCTGTCCGAGAAAGTACGACGCGTCGCATCATCTTAGCACCAACCAAAGCATTAAGAGAAGCGCTTGTGAGCGGGCTGGAAGTGACAGCCGCCTCTATAGGTCCTTCCAACACTGAACCCGTTCTGGGAGAGACCAAGGTCAGGAACTCGATCCAAGAGTGTACTGAACAAATGTGGGCGCAGATTTGAGCGGAAGGACAGCTTCGCAGATAAGCCCGGCCAGCCCAGGTGGCACATTTCTTGCGAAGCTCCACCAGTCATATGCTTCCGGCTTTGCGGGCTTTTGCGCATCGAGCGTAGCGTGAGCAGCACATGGGATAAAGCGGAGCCGGAGCGAAGCTGGAGCGGAGCCGGGGCGGAGCCGAGCCAAGCCGGAGCGGAGCCCGAGCGTAGCCGAAGTGGACCGAAGCGGAGCGGAGCGGCGGAGAAAGGCGCAGCGGAGGCGGAGCGGAGGCGGAGCGGAGGCGGAGCAGGCCAAGCGGAGGCGCAGCGAAGGCGGAGCGGATCCTTGAGAATTTGGATTTTGTGCAAGAATCCGTACATTTGCCAGAAAGAGCCTGGTTCCACTGGACCAATTAAAGAGAAAACTGGCGGAGTTTGACAAAGGTTTAAGTGAAAAGGTTTGAATTGTAAGACTTGCAAGAATTGAATGAAGAGAAGAACACAAGATGAGACAAAGAAGAACAGAGAAAAGCTGGGTTGTAAATGGTGTTTCAATTGACAAGCTTGCAGGGTTGCAGGTAAGAAATCTGCACGCTTCGAAGTTGGTTTGTTTTGATTTTGTTTAGGGTCAAGGTTGGACCAGAGTTACAACCTTGGAAAATGACATAGTTCTAGAGCACAGCCTTGGAAATTGGACATAGTTCCTGAGTTGCATCCTTAAAAATGATGTTATTCCAGAACACATCCTTGGAAACTTGTTGCCTCACGCACAAAGAGGCCCATGCACGTCGTAATATATAGAAGGACTTTTGTCTTGAAACATTAAAACCCAGGCTGGTGCTTGTTCATGTTTTGCCGATTGGAATGGCAAAGTCGAATGTTCTGGGCAATCGAAATATATTGTCCGAGGAGGCTGGCGCTTTCATGATACCATTTCAGGCAACGAAGGGTTTTCACCTTGTGTTCCGGAAGCAAAAACCACGCTGCTTGTGTTCAATTGTCTCAATTCACAAGGCAGCAGAAGGTGGTGACTTGGTTCCGTGCGCAGGGGAACCAAGGATGACAAGTCAATCATACACAGGCACTAAGCTTGCTGAGTCGCTCCAGTTCGGCCCTGCTCCGTACATCCACGCTCTGCAATCTGAGGTCATATGAACGTTTATATTTTATGCATATTTTCCAAATTCCAGAGTAACTGATGCCGCAAGAAGAGCCGAACGGCTCCCAAGATGTTAAAGGGCACTCTGCAGCCTGTCGCACATCAAGCCGTTTATCTTGTAAAATCCAGTCTTGAACGACATGATTCCCTCCCTGTTCCTCGGCGCCCTGAGCCTGGCTGCAGCCAGCCGCAGCGTGGAGTTGACAAACTCAATGACCGCTTCCAAGGCTGTCGAGCTTGGTCTCATCTCTGCATTCGACAATGACAATGTGACCCACACTGATTCCTTTGCGGAAGTTCAGCAGCACCTGCAGGAGGAGACTCAGGGGAAGTCAGCGAAATGCCCAGAAGTACAGATTTGCACGACATCAGATGGTGCATGCGACCCTAAGAACCTGGTGGTGATCACTTGCATCAGTGCACACAATCTTCCAAGCCAGTGGGGTGACAAGGTAGATCCCTATGTCAAGTTCTGGGTGGACAACAAGGACAACAAGGCCAGCACAGTCAGCTATGACAACAACGAGAATCCCAGTTACCACTTTGGCTGCCCCTTCAGCTATGAAGGTGCCCTGAATTTCGATGGAAAAGTCATGGACGATGACTTGGGTGGGGATGATCTGGTCGGAGAATTTGCCGCTGGTGGGTCCATCAACATGGACGCCGCGTTCTTTGACGGGGCAGACACCAACGGCGACGGAGTCTTCGAGATTGTGGTCAACCTCTTCAAGAACGGTTCCCCAGTGGGTGGCAGCTCGGGCCAGAGCACGGTGCGGTTCAAGTTCCAGCTCATCAAGGCGGAGGGCTACCAACTGAGGCGCCGCTGAGCTTGGCCGATGCAGCGGGGCTGAGCAAAAAACGGCCGTTACGGCTGAAGCGCCTATGAGGAGGAAAATGAAAACGATGAGAATGCAACCTCTCCGCGGGAGAATCTTGAAGACCGTCAACTAGCAAACACTTTCTTCAAATTTAATCGTCTTGTTCACGGGCCCCATTGCACGCGCTGTTTGGTTTGCAAGTGCGGGCTGTTTGACACCCTGGCTTGCTGGCTGACTCTAGGCTTGCTGAGAAACAACCATGGAATCACCTTCAACGAACAAGTGGGGATACTATTTGGAATTTACCGCCAGTCCATATATCATGCGTTACGCCGGCTTTGTTGCGGCTTTGCGCGGTCCGCCAAAGGAAAGATCTGGCAGAGTTTCCATATTACACCTAGCAGCATTGCGCGTTTTTGCACGACTGCAGCTTCTTTCTGTGGATGCAAGGGACTTGCATGGACATGCTCTCCAATATCGATGCAGCAATGGACATGGTTGTCAAACATGCCGGAATGACCAGCATTTTACCAACGGAGCCTCCTTGCAAGTTGCACACGTGCACGTGACAGAAGCTGCGTATAAGGTGCAAACGACACTAATTCAAGTCAGCAACATAGAAGGTGTCGTCACGCTGTCATAGCAAGCACCTTGTTGCTTTACACATGGAATCTTCAGTGTGGCATGCTGATGGACATTTGCATGAGGAATGTGGCGCTTGGCAGCAAGCAAAGCAAACCATGATTTGAGTCGTTTGACCCTTCTTGAGTTCTTGCAGGCCGCGTCCCACCCCCAGACCTCACAGTAGCACTCCCGGCGCCTGCGACCTTCATTGTCACTTTCCAGACACTTGCCTGGATTGGTCTTGTGCCTTATGCAGGTTTGCCTTTTCACGATTTCCTGATTGTAAAGGTCGTGTTGGAGATTTGTCTTGTTGTTCTGTGCCTTCCCTTCTTTGGGGTGTGAAGGGGGGAAACCAACAAACACAACCGTCATTTCGGGAACCCAGCCTGGGCGTGCTTTTCCGTTACCCTGGAAGCCTTGGCACGAGTCCGCCCTAGGGGTTCCCAAGTTCCTTTAGAGCCAATGGGCTGGCTCCAAGGCTTTTTCTGTGTCATATGTGTCAACATGCCCCCCTGTCATGCTGGTCCCGCACCAGCGACGTCGACTCGTCTTGATCGAAGGTCGCCCTGGCAGCCGACTGCACCGACGCTGCGAAGGTCAAGGCTGTAAAGCAGAGCGGCCCTTGACCGCGGCGGCTTGAAACAAAAATGGAGGGGGTTTGCCAAACGTGGTTGTTTGTTTGTCTGATTGGTTGATTTGATTCGATTCGTTTCGATTCAACTCGATTTGATTGAATTGTTGCTGTTTGTTTGTTTGCGTGCTTGTTTGATTGATTGTTTGATTGATTGATTGATTGATTGATTGATTGATTGATTGACTGACTGACTGACTGACTGATTGATTTGATTTGATTTGATTTGATTTGATTTGATTTGATTTGATTGATTGATTGATTGATTGATTGATTGATTGATTGATTGATTGATTGATTTGATTGATTGATTGATTGATTGATTGATTGATTGATTGATTGATTGAATTGAATTGATTTGATTGATTGATTGATTCATTGATTGATTTGCTTGATTGATTGATTGATTGATTGATTGATTGATTGATTGATTGATTGATTGATTGATTGATTGATTGATTGATTGATTGATTGATTTGATTGATTGATTGATTGATTGATTGATTGATTGATTGATTGATTGATTGATTGATTGATTGATTGATTGATTGATTTGATTGATTTGATTGATTTGATTTGATTTGATTGATTGGATGGATTGGATTGGATTGGATTGGATTGG